AAAAGTTTCATACACTAATCTTCAAAGACTTATGGAGAGACTCAGAATCCACTGAAGTAAGAAAACAATTCTCACTGATTTGGGCATGCTTCAGGAAAGTTAAAAAAGATTTACACATTAAACTTCTTAAAACTTTCCCAAGCTAGAGTTCAGCAACAAAAAAAAAAAAAAAAAGGAGGCCCTTGATCACTTCCTGCACTTGCTGTAACTGGGTTGTCTCTACGCGAAGCAGTAGGAGTACTGGCACGTACTTGGTACTGCGCTGGAATAAGCCAGTATGACTTGCTAAAACTTCAAGTACATACACCGCCATCTTTCACACTTATCACTGAAGAAAGAAGAATACTCTATCAGATCTTCTGTGTTTCTGTTCTGATCATTATCTGGCAGACCCAAGAAGACTTGGAGCAGCTGGAAATGAAGCTGAATTTTGTGGATGAGCACTTAAATGCTTGGTGGTTAATGTGCTCAGTGTCCACTTGCAGAGCCATTCTGGCCCATATATTGCAAATGTTGTATTTCTATGATATCTGAAGTAATTATAGGAATCAAATGTAAGTTCAGGTAGTGGAGTTTTGATAAAGTAGAAACGCTAAGGACTTTAGGATTTTTAGACCGTCTTTAAAAGGCTAAGAAGTGTCAGAACAAATCAGCTCCATATTTTAATTTCTTACTGGTATACAAATAAATCTGAATTTCATTCTATGGCAACCTTTTCTCTTTAATCTAAAGATTTTGCTTATTTTTAAACAGGAAGGATGCATTATTCTTTCACCTAAGGAAGAAACAAATCCCAAAAGCCTAATGTCCACTGGTGTCTTTCCTCTCTTCTGAAAATTTCTATAGGTGGTAGCAGCAGGCAGACAGGCAACATACCACGCCTAGATATAGATTTGAGATTTCTGCCACTGAAAGATGGCACCATAGTGCCAAGCATGATCTCATCTCTTCTGTCACACACCAATTACCATTACTGATATTGTATAAATCCTCACTGTCTCAAGTGAAATTGATATTTTCATGAATATACTAAAAATAAAAGCATTCATCCTATATAGACTTCCCCTGCAAGAGCCAGAATGGAGAAGAATAAAGTAAGGTCTTTCTCACTTACCAGTCTGAACCATCTGAAAAATATAATTTCAAGCCACAACACCTAGTGCAACTTTGTTTAAAATACAGCCCTTTCTATTTTATGTTTCATGCTGCACCACTCTTAACAGACCATTAAGTCATGCCAGGCTGATTTATGACATGAGAACTTCCCAGAGCAGAGTGAAATGCATCATACAGTCACATTGCACTTAAATGTGAATAGACTGTATTTAATTAATCTGAAATTTGGAAAATTCATGGCACACGTCTCATCTGTTTCTCTCTTCTCCAACATGGTAGGGAAGCAAAGTTTTTCTAACTTGGCTCATCTCCCTTTACTTCCTTAGTTAATTCTAAATACTTAATTTCTATCCAGGTGGCAAAAGTATCTAGCTATTTGCTGCATGTCGCTTCTTTCTGGGAAGATGACTCATAACATATGACAATAAATTAAGTAAACTTGACTTACTGCAAGGCAACTGAAATGCAAAGAACTGTATTTTCACTTGCATGGAGTAGAAATTAATTTGAAAACTGAGTACTCTGTCATCTGAATGGCTTTTTGGAGGATTAGTAAAAAGGTAACTGAAAGATCAGACAGATCTTCATAGATCTTCTGTTTGAATTTTAGTCTTCCATCTCAAAGCAGTATAGCAACTGCTTTCGAAAAGAGGGTCAGCGTTACTTTGAGTGGGACTATATGAAACTTCTGGGCTCCTCCCAACTTTTGTGTTTCTTTTAACAGCTATTCTCCTGCCCAACTGCCACAAGAAGCACAGTAGAATGTGAAAGTGAGAAAATACTAACTTGCTCACCTGGAAAATCCATCTAATGAGTGAAACAACAACAGAAATTGTCTAAATAGGGATAAATATCTTGTTTCCTAAACCCATCTGTCAGAAATCTTTTCAAAAGGTTATAAATAAGAGAACATCTATTTTAGAAGCGGGCAACACATTTATTTCTAGCAGCAAATCCAAACACTATGAGTAATCTGGTGTAGAGCTGTTAAATTCACCAGCTGCTATCCACCTCAGGCAGTACCATACCTCATTTTCTCTATGTAGTATGAACCATATGTTAATAACTGCTTGAACCTAACGTGGTCATTGGTAATCCCACTCCTGAATTTTCCACTCAAGATTAAATTTAAATAAAAATATCACAACTAACAGAATAAAGTATTTGAAACAGGCAAAAACTCAATAGAAAATGAAAATTATTTGGTTGGCAGAAAGAATTGCAATCCCGGAACATTAAAAAAAAAACATTCCTCTATTCTTCAGCGACAAGGCATTGGAACGAAAATGGTTTGGTCTTGTTTAAAACAGAAAAAAAGACAAAACATGTCTGCTTTGAATTGGAGGTAGTGATGAAAAGTAGAGGTACATAGATAATTCTCAGGCATCACAAAAGAATATAAACTTTTAAGCTGCTCCCCTGCAGTTTAACATATACATAAATATATAAATATACTTCTGTTAGAATGTCATCCTCCAAGAGAGCTGTGAGCTTGATAACATTAAGTAGTGTTTGCTTTAGCTTCCTTTCTGTAAGGAGAGGTATTTTTGCTCTGCATTCCAGTTAACTTCCTGAACAAAAAATGCTACGAGACTTGACTCACCATTCTTGTCAAATGACAGGTCATTAAGCAAAAAAAAAAAATAAAGACATACACTCTCATAAGGACAGTATTGTCCTTTCTAGAGCTACAAGATCAGATAAAAGTGATCTAAAGGTGATCTGCTTATATACAGCAATCACTCAATACACACTTGTATGGGAGATCTATATGTTAAATGTCTTTGGGGTGGGACTTATTTACTTAACAGTGTTTTCGCAATTCACAAAGATAATCGCTAAATTAAATAACTTGATAAAGACCACAAGACCATATAATAATTATTTTAAAATCAGCCATTCTAATTTATGTTTCCTGAATAAATCACATAAAAGAAGAATTTTCTGTATACCAGATGTTCACTTGTAACAAAATAAAATAGTGGAGGCAGGGAATATGACAAACTGACCACAGCATGGTCACACAGGGGATCATATACCTGGACATAAAGTAACTTGAGACCAAGAGCTTCTGTATAAGCTTTGGAGATGGAATCATGGGTGACTCAACAGCCTGAAAAGCCTTAACAAAGAATCAGTGTTCTGAAATGAGACAGCACCAACACTGCTGAAATCTATCATTTTCTTGTGAATCTCCAGTCATTAATTTTATGTGGCTTTTACAGAGCCTGAAACAGCCTCTACTTTCTGACTTTTTTTTCTTGCCTATCTTTTAAGAGTGAGCAAAGTGAGAAAAATATCTAGAAGTAAAATACTTCTAATCTTGTAGCATTTTCTTAGTGAATGAAGAAGGAGGTTTCATTATTAGCCACAAGCCCCTGCAACATGAGAGATTTACATTAGAAGCATAGTAATTTCATACTGTATTTTCTAAGGAAAGGGAAATTTTCTTACGAGTTTACTCCAGTTTTTCACTGTTACAACTCCTAGGAATTAATTTCTTCAGAACTAGCATAAGTAGTGCCTAAGGTTTAAAGCTTGCTATCAAAATCTCAGATGGAGGTCAGTGAATTTCCGTTCTGCACAAGGAATTCTTCAGGTATGGATAAGCCATGCCGCGACTGTGAAGGTACTTGGCTTGGCTCTATGTATGCTAGTTCAAGCAAGCTAATAAGCATAGGATCACCTTAGTTCTGGAAACAGAGGCCTAACCTGAATTTTATTTTTAAATTATTCCAACCTCTCTTCCTCCAACTCATAACAGCGAAGAGCTGAGACAAGTTCAAATTCACAAACTTTAGTCAAATGCGTATCTAGCATAAGTTCTGACTACATGAAGACAGACCAAACCCCTCAGCAAGCTCTGTAAACACCAGTACATACTTTTCACACTAATCCGAAAAATCAGAGGAACCATATTGCTATTCTAAAAGATACATCTAAACACAAACTGCAAAAATCAGAGGAGCAGTGCAACTGGTTAAATTATTTAGAAAATCCATATAGGCACAGAGTAAACATCCGTGAACGAAAATTAAATAGTAAGTTCAGGATATTTCTGAACACTAAAAGTGAATTTCAGCTACTGACAGTTGCAATTTTTCCATTATGCTCAGTTAGATTTTTATAAATCTTCAGAATTTCAAAAGTATAGGAAGGAATCACATTTTCAGTGTGGGAATTCAAAATCCAGAGGTTGTCTTCCTCTGGACTTGTTATTCGAAAGAGTCTGCGTCCTATACAGCGCATTCCAAAATGCACTCCAAGATGACCCAAGGGCAAAAATCAATGATGAACTTTCTTAACAAGCACGGAAATCTACTCCATCCCCTCTTCAATTTCAGGACTGCTTCATTTCAAAACTCTTGGAAAGATGCAAGAAAGACGGGACATGCAAAGCCTGTGCTTTTACTGCTATGCAATAAAAGCATAATGAGCTGATCGGTCAGGGCCTGATAGAAGCTCACCGAAGTCAATACAATCCTTTCTGTTGATTTCAATGGCTTTTATACCAGGCCCTTAAACAGACTGTTAAAAACGTCTGAATGAGTGATTTTGGCTCTGTATCACCCCACCCACCCTGTTTCACTGATTGGTATTTGTTGGTGATTTGGCAAATACATTTATACGTGACACAGCAGAAAATACAAAGTTCAGAAATAGCACTTTGTCAGTCAAAATCACTTGCCTGGTGTTAGACAGTTAGAACTACTAAGCACTGGCTGCTAATTTCAGCCAGTTAAATGCTGTTGCAAATGAAAGATGAAGCATTGCATGAAGCCATGCTAAAATGGATAGAAGGATGGTTACTTACCAACGGGGCGAGCTGTTGACATTACAATGGTGTAGTGAGAACATAAAAAAGAAATTAAAAAAGAAAAGAATATCTGTCAGAATGCATGACGTGTAATGTTACCTTCCACTATGGATACTACCATGATGGCTAACCCCTCAAATGACAGCCTAAGTAAAATGTTTACTGTTGTTACTGTTCAGTCACGTGCCACTATTATCACATTTACTTGAGCATAGCATCTGAACAAGCTGACTGGAACCATTCTCTGAGAAACATTTTTATTATCTTCGCATGCCATCATCAAGTATCATTGTTAATGCCTGATAAAAGAAAAATTGCATTGCATTAGCACAAACTTTTAGATCCCAATGAACACATCAACTTAAGCCGCAGACTGCCAAATGTCATGCCAGTAGATGCAAGGCGATTGCTTTCTGAGTCAAATACCAATTGAATTTTAAGCATGGCCAGTCAGTACAGCAGTAAGGGCTACAGAAAGCCCAGGATGGTTTTTCTCATTCAATAACGGGCATGAAAGCTTACAGCACACAGCTTTTTCTCACTGACAGCGCTGATGGAAAATATAACAAATAGGCTGAAATGGCCACAGGGATTTCAACCCAGAACCTCCCAAATTACTGCTTAGATAACTTCTACTTCCTAAAAAAATTGCTGCTGAATGATTGACAGGTTAATACTGTTTCAGGTTGATATCAAGATTGAAAGCTGCTGCTGCAACAAGTGATTTCTTGATTATAGCAACAGCCCTTCATTATACTTGTGCTGGGGAAGAGGGCTGTCAGTCCCTCTGTTAATAAAATACAGACATCCCCTTCCAGACGAGCCAAAAAGTTGGACATAAAATTGACTTCAGGTTGCATCTGGGTAGGCCAAACTTCCCTTACTTTAGCAGTAGAAGCAGTTACACATTTCTGAGCAACAGCACAAATTTTTTTTTTTCTCCTTTTTTTAAGAAGTTAAGCTCTGTATGCTTATGTGCAGACTAGGGTCAAATGCAGGTTCAGAGGTAACAGACCGTGCAAGGACCTTCTTGGTTCTCAGCTTTTCTGTGGCTTTATCCTTACTTTGGCATACCCACTTCATTTAACTAATTCAAGCCTGCTGCCCTTTCTCGCCCATCAACTCTTTGAAGACTTTCTGCCTTCTTGTATTATGGACATATTCCTTCTGCAGAGAGATAAGGAATAAGAGTGATGTGCACCTTTCCAAGAGAGGGCATGAAGGCTGAGCCACAGAATTCAAATTTTGTTATTGTTTGTGACAGTGTAACGCAAAATCCCTGACTGCATCCTCATCCTGACTGCATCAGGACCAAGGTATCCTCAAAGTAAATTTTGAAGTGCTATGTGGTTTTGCTCCTCTACACAATGAGCGGTTATGGTAAAGCAGTTTCAGACAAAACTGGCAAAAGTTTCAGAATTCAAAATTAGGGTTTCCTTTCATTAAAAGGACCGTTGTTGATGGCCCCTTTAAAGTCAATGGGCGTCTGCCCAGTCCTTTGTTTTCAGAAAATTCAGAGTAATAACCTTCTCCATTGAATTTCTTGGCTTTTCTCATTTTCTCTCATATTCTGAACATTTAATATGCTTATAATATTGTGGCTTCCTTTGTGTTGGATAAAGGGGGGGGGGGGGGGTGGGGGGGGGGGGGGGAGAAATCCCAAAGATAATGAAAACCTCCTTTTACTGTAGGAAAATCGATTAAATTATATATTTCCTCGGGTTTTTTTCACCTTAATTTCATCAGGTTCAAGCTTCAGTGATTTCAAAGGATTTTTTGCTTGGTTCTAGCTATTGTTTACATCATAAGACTGGGTAGCAAATCTAAAAGGCTTGCTCCAGTAATGTATATGCAGTTCCAGGAGTGTTTAAAGGCTATCGAATCGGTTGCCAGATTTATTGGATACCGTGATTCTGCCTGTGACAAAGGAACAGAGTGAGACTATTTCTGGGAGTTCCATGTAGTGACTATTTTTCTCACATTACAAAATGGAAGAACAATCTCTTACACAAGCACGTAGCAGGTAAACCTATTTCTTCAGCTTAAAACAGGAAGAGCTGCATTATCACTTATTGTCTAAAGTGAACACCGAGGTAATACTTCAGCAGATGGATTATCACAATACTCTCTTTTCTTTGTTATGTACTAACATCTCCCCCCCTACAAAGCCACTCAGTGCTTTTTTTTCCCTTTGAATTCAGCAAATTAAACTGAACTGTGTCCATGCATTAAATGGATGGAAATGGAAGCTGGCCTCTTGGGTCAGTTGACCCCAGTTCTAATAAAGCAATCCACTGAGACTTTGAACATTTGATTTAATGTGTATGAAAAGAGAAGAAGAGATAAAGCTAAAAATGTTTTTATTAACCTTTCACAGCTCTACTGAAAACCGTCAGCATGCACCACTAAACTGTGAAATAGTGTCTGCATGATATCCATTGTGCCAAATTGCTGCTTATCTTTTGGAATGAAGTAATAACTATTATATTCTATTTACTCATATGGAAATATTAGCCTAAAAACTTTTTCTCTCCACATAATCTTTAGCACGTCTATATCTACTGTCACAGAAGACATTTTGCAACTCATTATTCTGCTGGTCTTAAAACCTCCTTACTACATCAAACAGCAGCACATAAACACTCAGTGGATACTAGAGACCAAGAATATTTTAAGAGAGAATACGTTAGCCTTTACCTTGTAATACTTACAAAATTTAATTAGCATTTTCTTTTTCCTTTGGCTGGGGTTTATCTTTCAGATAAAGAGTAATGGTAGAGAGCTTAATCATGGCAGAGCTAATCGTATGATAATACTATCTGCATTATGTTTAGCATTAATAAACATAGTTACTTACTATACTCCTTATACTTATTAGAGAAAGAAACGTGAAGAATAGCCTAAACTGATGGCTCATATATTAAAGTCCATGCCCATGGTTATGTAGTGTTGCTTGTGCACATATATGCATCTGTTTTTCAATAAAAAACATTGGAACAGCTCTTTAACTGCAGGGAAATCCTATCCTATTGAAGTAAATTAAAGTTTTGCCTGAGATATCAACGGGACCAGGCTTTCACCTGTTGTAAATCAGTGCCAGCACCCATAATTGCAAAGGGTATGTGAAACCCAAAAAATGACAGGTAAAGATGTGGCCCATTTTGTCAGAAAGCAATTTCTTCATACAGGACACGGGCTCTCCCTCCATGGGAACACTCACCTCGCACAGTGAGGGTAGCAGAGGCTTCCACTTTTCCAACTCGATTCTCAGCAATGCATATGTAGGTTCCTTCATCTGTGCTCATGGCCTTCTTAATGCGCAAAGTGTAGTCATCCTTGATGTCATACCTGCGTTACAGAAAAAGAATGAAAACTCTTCCTGTAGACAACAGAAATGAATGAAAACTCTCACCTGGAATATGCCAGCCTGAATCTATCTTGGAGCCAGCTTTGGAAGATAAATTATTATCTAGCATTAGATAATTCCACCAAGCATTAATCTTCATGACATTTTTATTGCACTCTGCATTAGTTAGAAACTTTACATAAAATTAGTATTGCTATGTTCACTCAGTATTAGGGCTTTATTAATAATATCACTCGCTTTGTCCTTGATCTAGAGCAATAAGATAAAATTAAGCTATCAGACATCAGTTATCAATACATGACAGCTCAGGTTTATCATGCCTTTAACTGTGTGAGCTACACATTTTACCTTTTGCTGATTTGGAAATTTCCCTTTATATACAGTTTAAACTGTGAGCATGTTGGTAGGATCTGACACTACACGATTACAAACAATAAAAAATATATTTAAGCTCTGGAAGGTGACATTTATTGAAGAGGCACATTAAAGGACATTTATCAATTTCACACAAATACTACAAAATGATTCATTAAGGGTGGACAATAAGATTTTCTCTTTCTTAAAAGAAATTAGAAACAATTCAATTATGCTTAATCCATTTCCTTGTTTCTACTGTTGTAATAATTCTAAAACTATGAGGAGGTATAAAACTAGAAATAATACAAAGTACTTCAGCAGGTAGTGAACATTCATTCTCAAGGAATTTAGAGTGCTTACACCTAGAAAAATATTTTCAGCTAAACTGTTACTATCCTGCAGAAGTCATGCTTAACATGCTCTAATCCAGAGCTCATTAAAGTCAATGGGAGGCTTTATCTTGTATGAAATTTCTTTGGCTCTCGAATCATGAAACCCCTGGTTTTCAGCATGGATATTTTTTTCTTTAAATACTCTCTTGTAAGATTATTTCCAGTAGCATTTGTTCTAGACATGATAAACCCATGACACCTTAATTAAGTCACCTTGAATCTAGAGTTTGCTTCAGACTCTCATTTATCAAATAGTGAAATAGGAACATGAAACTAAAGAAAGATCGAGACTCCAGGAGACGTCAATACTCCTTCTCACTCTATACACACTCATGACATAACTTCAGAACAACTAATTTACCTTCTCTTTGTTATACAGTAAAGACTTCTTAAGCAAACATATTGAAATCATGTGGAAGAGCACCCTTAAATGTTTTGATAAATAAGAATGTAATGCAATTATTTACAGGAATGTTGTGGGTCTCTGAGTATTTTTAAATACTTTGGAAATATGAAACATTAATTTATGTGTACATAATATACATTGCTAGTACATTGTAGAGAGAGAGAGAGCACTGTGTGCTAATGGACTTCAAAGCATCTTAGCTCAAAGCATCCTATATGTTGAAACATTTCAATTTTAGTCTAAATAAAGCTCACAACATCAATTAGAGCATTACTAGCAATTCCAAAAATAAAGAGAATTCAAGACATCTTTTCACACTCACCACAATGCAATACAGCTTCATTGTATATACAGTAAGTCCATTTTAAGCATTAGCAAAAAAATAAATTTAAAAAGACCAAATTGAGGCTAACCATTCTGTCAGAGATAAACATAAGCACATATAATACCCCTTTTGTTAGGAGTTACACTGAATTATATGTATATACAGTACCTCAGGTTTAGCTAATGAATAAGAGATATGCCAAGGGGAACAGTAAGTAGATGCCATTGCAAACTTCAGAAACATATAGGGACAATTTTTGTGCTAGCATAGTACCATTGGGGTGGGGTGGGGGAAGTTATGACACTGGAGAACTTAATATACAGTTTCTGGAGCAGTACAGATCTATTGCAACTATATTCCATGTCCATATGCAGTTGAGGCACATTTCTTCCCAACTGCTCACAAATTATGTCATTTTGCATGCTGTGTGCACTAGTCAACGGCAAATAGAAATCACTGTTTTCATAAGAGAGAAAAGGCAAATTGTCTCCCTTAAAAAATCTCAAGAATATGACAACAGTATCCCACCATGATGGAGCAGTTATTTGTCTTTGGCGACCACAGAATTGCAGACAAGACAAAATGCTTATTTTCTTGACACAAAGCCAGCCCTAGGGGACTAAAAATATAAAGTTGTATTCAGCTCCTGTAAGATGAGAAAACTGAGATGAGCTGTAATATAAATATGAGTTGGATATAAGAATCATAGTTATAAAGCCAGGCAACAATTAACCATTTATTTAATTGTTTCCCCCCCACAGACAAATAACACCCCTGTGGTTCACTTACCGCTGCCGAGATAAAAACAGACAGGCAGCAGGGACTGTATGTGACTGAGCGGCTGCTTGAACTGGGATGCAGGCAGCCTGGGACAGGGCCCTCCAGTCTGCTGTGGGCTGCAGCTGACTGGCTCTTCTTCATCTCACCCATGTACTGGTGCCGGCATGCCAGCCAGCTGCCTTGGAGGCTTCGGCAGTCTTTATGCTTGCACCTGCCAATCATGCAAATTGTGCAAAGGCTGCTGGGGGAACAAGCCAGCTGCATGGCATGCCAGGACGCGGAGTGAGGGTACAGCCATCGTATTCCACTTGGGTCGCGAAACGGAGGGTGGCGTACACATGTCGCTGTCATGGCCCAGTTATCAATTACTTCAAGGAGAGGTCCAGCTCTCCCGGGCTGCTTCTCCAGCAAGGCCATACTGGGGTTTTGGACCATCCTGCTAGAACCTGCCATCTAGCAATTAGATTCATAAATAGATGGACCCATGGGACATTATAACCATCTGCTGTCCTGAAGTCCTGATATGCCACCCCTCCGTCGTCTGTTCCACCCACGTTGTCCCCAGAAGTCACTACAGTTCAGTGAAGAGCTTTGACAGATGAAGCAGGCCGGAAGGAGAAAGGAAGAAATCTGGATTTTTGCCTGATCCACAGCAGCACGCGGAGCTTGTGTGAGAAAGGGACCGTGAAGTAACAAGGACTGAAGCCCAAATATGTTTTCAGTTTTTCAAGCAGCCACTTGCACAGTCTTGAACAGTGTCTTCTCTCAGTCCCAGAGCCTCATACTCCCACAGTAAGATGTTTCCATCTGAGTTTCTGGGGAAGTTCATTCTCATCTGGGTTAGTGCTACTGAACACTTGGGAATCGGGATCAGGGCCTCTCTGCCTGCTACTACCAATCCCAGGCAGAGGTTACCAGATTCCTGGATTGATGATGGAGTGGCGTACTGGTTAAGTTGGTCCTTAACGTTGCCAGTGCACTAAGGCAGCAATGTCTTCAAAATATGCGCAGTGTCAAGAAACACCTTCTGACATAATGCCAAAATATTGCTGACTTCTAGCCAACTAATGCCAACTTTCAGCTAAAAACCTAGGGTGTCAGACATCAGTTTCACATGTTTATGGCCATCTAATTGATTTTAAGTACTTCACTTTGTTAAACATTTAGAGGTGCTTAACCTTTCAGTTCAGCTTAGGCTTCAGCCCTCAGATTGTCTTTTAAACAGCTAGTCAGCCTGTGCCTAGATAGAAACCAGCCACTTTGGGGCACCACGTTACATAATTTCTGTTCTACAAGTAATAGTTAGAGCAGGTCTGCCTTTAATTAACTGAGAAGGAAAGTGGGGGTAGGGGACTGGGAAGGAAGAAAAAAAGAGAAAAACAACAAGCAGATGAGAAAACACTGCTGGTGAGGAAATTCTAATAGAAATTGGGTGATTTTGAGTGAAATCTGGCAGTCTCTGGCACATATGAATGCATTCATTGTTGCTAGTTTTGATTAATGACAGTTGTACAATAGTGTGCTGACAGTCACTGCCATACAGACACTTTTTTTTTTTTATATGAAACACTGCTGAAAATGCAACCCAATCAGATTTGGCCCCTGAACAACATGTGCTATCATCACTGTACCGTGAATTGAGATTGATTGGTAACCAGCTGTGACAAAGTGGGAAAAAGAGCCTTGTCTTTTTCAAGAAAAGAAAAGAAGAAAAATAAAAAACTGAATTGTGTCAAAACCATTACCATCTGCTCAACCAAATAACAACTAAAACAAAACACATTAACTGTTTTTAAGTATCACAAATTAATGTACTGAGGTTGGATTCATGCATTGGGTTAAGCATTTAAGAATAATCTTTAATTAAACTGTTTTTGTCACAGTTATCATTTTTTTCCTCACATTCAAATGTGTATCTCTCCATACTCAGCCACCAATCCTCCATGGTAATCAAATAAAAAGAAGAGAGTGAATTTACAGAACTTAGAGAAATTTAGCAATACGCTTTTTTCCATTTGATATACATTTCACTGAGTGCTTCACAGAACCCCTAGATTTGCAGATTTTCAAAAACATGTATGCAGCTATGCCTGAAAATGTATTGTATCTCTTTGTCTTTTGCAAGCACAGGTAGAAAACTGTGTTTGCAATTGAAGTCATTACATTTCTAGAGACCCAAATGGGTCTAACTGATAATACAAGGATGAGCTTGCTTCAGCTGCGTATTTTAAAGCTGTGAGAATGCATTACTGAATTCTACAAATCCAATTCAAATAGACATATTTCTTGCTAAAGGCAGTTTCCAAGAGAAAAAGTCACATCTTAACTGTTGTGAACTGATGCCACTGGCCTCAAAAAAATTATATCTATTTATACCAGGCGCCTATTTTCTTCTAAAATATTACTGTAAATAAAAAAGTATATAATAGAATCTTTGTATGTAGGCTTTGTAGGCTTGCTTTTTTTTAGAGATGGCACAAAAATTACTTTGCTCTCTTTTCTTTTGCCTGTTTGCCAGGCTGTTTTGCAAAACGCTCACAAAGCTTCAAGATTACTCACAACATCAATGATTAGGGAGCCCAAATAGAGGGATGCTACTGGCCAAAACCAGAGTAAACAGGAGGTAGTTAGGGAGGCTTAAGCTTCTGTCTCCACTTCTCTTTTGTGGTGCTGGCACTTCAGCTCCCAGCATAGCGCCATGGCTTTTCACCGGCTCCTGGA